AGAAAAGGCATTAAAGTGCAGTATGAAATACAAAAAAAAAAAAAAAGATGCTTTCTAAAGAGATAAATTGCCAATTTTTCTTAAAAAATTATTTTCTAATTTAGTTGAGTAAAAATAGTTTGCAAACATAATTGCAGTATGAAAACTGGAGCTCAGAGCTGCTTTGGTTTTCTCCATAGCACAGTAATAGCAGTATTACTGGAGAACACTAAATAAATTGGCTTGTGGAATATACTCTGCACAGTGGTATGAGAATCTGGAGATTTCTTAAAATTTATGCCTCAAAGTGTGTTTTAAAAAGCTATTTAAATGTAGACATTTACCTCAGATAATTTTATTTTATTTCACTAACAAATGTGCATATGTATATATGAAGTAATGGTATTGTTCTAGCAGCAAAACTGGTTTTGGATGTTGAATATAAACATAAAATTGAGGAAGTTAATTGTCTCCACATGGTGTAACTTAATAAGTAAATAATTTTTGTACCAAATCAGCAGGGCTTTTTTTCTTACTATTTGTTTTAGTTGTAGATAGACACAATACCTTTATTTTATTTATTTATTTATATGTGGTGCTAAGGATCTAACCCAGTGCCTTATACATGTTAGGTAAGCGCTCTACCACTGAGTTACAACCCTAGCCCTAAAACAGGTTTTTGTATCACCAGATATATTTCTCACAGGAGCATTGTGGGTAAGTCTGAATCTTCTAGATGTAAATTAAGAATGCTTCTAAATGTAATTATTAGACCAGTTATATCAAAGAAATTCAACATGAACTATACATTCTGACTGATTCTTGGAAATCATTTCTAACATTGGTGATTAGTTAAGGAAGAAGAAAATGAAAGAGCACCTTCCAAAATATAACATAGCATGTAACATAGCAGTAAAATACAAATGTTAAAAGCACTTTATGGTGGGAGGGGGAAACCCACCACATCTAAAGCTAAAAAAAAAAGAAAGAAAGAAAATTAAAATTCAGACAGAGGAAAATGTGGATGGGCACCTGTCCAACAATCTCATGAAAACTCAGAGCTCTAGCACTAATTTAGGGTGTTTTCTTCTTTCTTTCTTAGTGTGTGGTATCCCAGGTCCCCACCTGGCCATCCCTGCCCTGCATYTAGAGTRSCTGCATCCTTGCAACCACCTTTTCGTGATGACAGAGATCAGCTTCCTTTCCAGCAATATGTGGTTTTTATTCAGGCTGTAGTTCTCCACTTTGCTGCCTCCTCTTTTGGGCCTCACAGAATGGAGGTTTTGTGGTGAAGGCCCTGGCTCACTCACTGGAGATCCAGGATGTGGGTGATGCAAATTGTTCTCAGCTCCAGAAAGATGTGTTCTGAGTTCTCCACCTCCACAGTACCCATGGGTGGAGGTGGCCTCTGATTTTCTTGCCCTTGGTTTCTATCAACTGATTGGATCCAACCACAGAGGGCRGGAAACCGACTTTAAGTCTAGTCTTCTCCTTAAAATCTATATCTTCATATGACTCTTCATTAGGTGAGTGATGGATCTTGGTGCTGTTCTTCAGTTCATCCAGCAACCTGTTTTATTTTTTCAACCGCTCCAGTTCCTTTAGAGTGAGAGTGGGAGCTGTTGCAATGACTGGCACAGCTTATTGTGCGCTGTCTTCATAAATGTCACTTCTAAGGGCTTAACTKTCCAAATGGTGAAATAAGACAAAAGCAAAATAGTCTAGGTTATGAGTGATGTGCTATCTACTCAAGCTCCTCTTCTCATGCAGGTACCCTTTACACTCTCATCAATGTAGGAGATAATCTTCTTAAAATAATTTCTGCTATTGATGGCATCACCGTAGCTGGGTGTGTTCACTAGTGTAAGGCAAATCCTGAGTCCCTCCTGACCTCCTTTCAATCTCAACAGTTGAAACTGCAATTTGGACAGTTCTTTCAATTTTCTGTGCAGCCTCAGGCATGATTCTTTCTGGGCAGAGATCTGTAAGAAATAGGTTGTTGATAAGAGTTGATTTCCTAGACTTGAACACCATTATTGTGAACTGCACATTTTTTTTTCACTCATTTTCCATGAACTTGATTGGGAATATTGCAAATCTAGTGCAGCCATTTCTGGATATATAAGTTGAGCTAGTTGTGACACCTTTCACAATGTTTCCTCTCTTAGTGSATCAGTTAAAGAAGAGGTGAATATTGACTACACCATGGGCTTGCCCCTCTATCTTGATTTTGTGATGTAAACTTTTCTCTTTCTCATCCCTAAAAACACCTTCAGCAAATTCTATATTTCTCATTAATCCAAGTGGATATTTTGGAGACATTTTAGGGTTTATGGGAGTAATGTGGGAAAAATTGATATTTGGATTATAATTTTTAGTTGCATTGGAAAAGCCTGTATAAGTTTATACATTTTGAGCAACTGTCTTAATTTTTATTAGGAGATATATCTCCTTTAGTGAATATGAAATTAAAATTCTTATRTTTCCCTAAGTTACTCTGATTCTTTAATCTTTCACTCTTCTACTATTATGTATTTTTAGAAAATACTTCAGGCCATTCATGATAGGTGGGGTCTGCATATGTACATTGTATCTTGAATGAATGCTAGGAAAAGATACTTTCCCTTGTGTTCTCTCTAAATAAATCCAAATTTCCTGGTTTTTTGGAATGACTATAAGTTCAATGGTTGTTTTAGAAATTCCCTTAAAATATCAAGGATATTACTAGGTATTGTTGTCATGTTTCATGTCTCTGTTTCACTTTATTTCCAAGAGGAAATCCATGAGTAGTAATCTCTCCCAGAGGGATATGGCATAAGTCTGGGCCAAGCAGATTTCCATGTTGGGAGCAAGCCTGGTTTGAATGAYTCTGTGAGAAGCTTGAGGAATCCCAGGGTGGGTTGAAGGTATAAGTTTAAGGTTATGATTGAGGTGGTAAGGAAGTGAGACTAGTCTAATGAGATACATCATGTTCTTTCAACCAGTGCCTTTTCCACCTTGTTAAAAGGAATGAAAAACAAAGGACAAAAGGAATAAAGGCTCAGGTTATTTCCAGTTATATTTGCTTTTCAATTGGGATATTTTTTTCTCTTCTCAGTGATTAACACACAATTATACTTTCCAAATAAAGTAGTTTTCTAACTACTCTCTATTTTTAACCTCTCCAATAAACATAAGAAAACATTTAAAAATTATTGAAGCTATTTTATTCTATTTAGGTGGAATTTAGACTCTCTAAACCATATTTAAAATTTTTAGTTTAAATGTTTGCATTTACCTTCATGCCAAAGTTCTCTGATGATTTACTAAATATAAAGTTTAAAAATTTGAAGAATAGGATATTTATAAATAACCAACAATGATGTGGCTTTATTACTCCTAGTACAAATGTACATGCAGAAWTCACACCAGGATTTTCAGAGAAAAAGGCAGGAATTCTTACTTTGAGAATCTACAAAACACAAATGTTCAGAATTYTCTTATTAACTAAGATGAAATTTATGCATGGAGATAATGTTAAGAATTATGTATTTTAATTTCTCAATTATCAAATAATCATTAATAAGGATACATGCATGCAAACCACCATATTGGAACTGTTAAGGAAAGATTATTTCAGGTATTGTCATTTTATATTTTAAAGATATTGAATCTTTATTAAATATAGAAAAATCCATTCAAAGTTCCTACTCTATCATAATGAATCATTTTTAAAGGTTTTTGATATTTATCATTGTTTTACATAATAACTTATTACAATATCAAGTAGATAGATATTATTCTTTTTGTTTGTTAAATTAAAAATATGCATAAAGTATATATGTGAGTGACAAAGGCCTGAATTTGTGAATTAGTAATATGAATATATTGAGTGCTGTGATTGCATGCCTGCTTATATATCTGGGCTCACATGAGGAAAAGGCTAGGTTTGGCCACTGACTTCAATTAATTATCACCCATTCCTTGGAGGAGATTAAAAGAACAATTCATAATTTATCAAAGAAAGAGTTATCTTCTCTGTTTAGAAATTCAGATCAGTTTCCTTTTTTCATTTCCAATATAAGTTTTCTGGCTTTTTAAAAAGTAGTTTTCTTCAATGGAAATAATTTCATGAGCAAATCTTCTTTAACTTTTGTTCATTTTTGGCCTGAAAGACCAGGCTGGTATTGCCTTTCAGAACTCCTTTGAGTCACTGAAACAAAGACAAAAACAGAAACAAATCAATAAAAACTCCTTGGTCTCTCTCATCTATTCTAGGCTCTTCTGTGCATAACTATTTAAAGTAAGGTCATAGAAAATATATTTCTTTCATTATAAAGTGTCTCTTGAGTATTCTTATTATTTTCTGTACCTGTATGTGTCAGGGGCATTTTGACTGACTCAGTTATTTAGTTAGGTTATTTAGTTTAGGCTTGTTTTTTTAGGCCATAGCTAGGATGGAAACATTGAACTTATTAATATCTATTTTAGTTGTCATTGTTGCTATGCTTTTCTCCTAGTTTGTGTTTGAGGCAAAAATAAGACTTTTTTTCAGATGGTTTCAAAAAGAAATAGAAGCCCTATAAGATGTCTGTGCATATAAATATTTCATTACTTTTAGATAAAAATCATACTTGGAATTAATAGTAGTAGATGCAATTTGGATCTTAACTTTTATTTAATATGTCTTATTTCCAAGGAGAATCATTGGGTTGGTTGCATTTTTGCAAACATCACAAACCAAAATGTTCAAATGGGAAATAGCAGATAAAGAACATGGTAATGAATAATAGGYACAAATCGTTTAAACTGTTATGTAAAATTTGATAAGGTGTTTTACATAACTTTAATAAATTGACAAAGTGTCATGGAGAAAACAGTTCCAGATGGCAAACATATGCAAGGGATCTAGTCAAACAATTTTTTTTGGCAAGAATCTTATGATTTTGTAATCAGTTGGGAGCCAATGAAATACAAAGATGARTCTAGTTAATAATCTACAATTATTGGCTAAAGAAGTATATTAGGGCTAATTTCCCTGCATTCATCCTACCTTTTCTATCAACCCCACAAGCCTTTGGCACAATGAAGTGGGTAACCTTTATTTCCCTTCTCTTTCTCTTCAGCTCTGCTTATTCCAGGGGTGTGTTTCGTCGAGAAGCAGGTAAGAATTCATTTTTTCCTTTGTACAACTTTTTTCCCTAGGAAAAGTTTCAGTAAGCCCTGCATACTGAATTAAGTTTCCTTTTAACATTTATATCTAGAATGTGATGTTCTTTTGTTTTTGTGAATGCTTATGTGGTTATTTAATTAATGTGGTTCGAATATCTTAAGTAGAAACAACATGGTGAGAATTACTTAGTGAAAGTAATTTCTTTTCTCTATAAAGAAATGCCARGCAGAGTGACTTAAACTTCATAGAACAGAGAAGAAGATAGGATTCACCACTATCTCCAAGGCCTACCTAATGGACCTTGCTCTATGTAGAACAGAAAAACTCTTGTATTATTAATAATATAAGTAGGATTTCCATTTGTATTTACTTTTAGATTTTCTTCTCAGTTGCTGTTCACAGGCACTATAAGAGCATTAGCTCCTACCCACGTTAGAAAATAAATTTATTAATATTTAAAATAATATTCTTACTGATTGAATAATTCTTCTGTAAATAAAGAATATATACTTCATCATCCTAAGACTTTCTGCAATAATCAGAATCCAATATTTTGAAGCAATGAATAATCTAAGTTCAATGAAAAGAAATGGTAGAATCTAATTCATTGTTTCATTTAATATTTAAACACATATTGTGTTTTTTTTCTCTCCTTTTCCCCTAGGCAAAAGTGAGATTATTGATCGGTTTAAAGAATTGGGAGAGCCACATTTCAAAGCCCTGTAAGTTAAAATATGGAAGAGTCAAATTTAATGTTTCTGATTCACATTGGTTAATACACTAAAGGTGTTATATTCTCCTATCAACAGGGTCCAGATTCCATAGCATTGCAGCTCCATAGAATTTTCAGCACTGATGGAAATATTCTGTATCTGTCTAATGTGGTAGCCACTGGCCACACGTGGCTGTTGAGTACTTTAAATATGGCAAGTGTAATGGAGGAATAAAATGTCAAAATTGTATTAAAGTTTAGTTAAATTGCATTTAAGTATGTAAATTTTAATTRATTTAAACTTAAATAGAATTTTAGTTAAATGTAAGTATTTTAAAAATATAGTCACATGTGTTTAATGGCTACTGTATTGAACAGTTAAAATCTGGACTTCTCATACTACCCAGAAACTCTGGAACAGTGATGGGAAGACTAATGCATGGTTCCTTTGGCAGCTCACTTAGTAAATTCCCTTTACATACCAAATTGTTCTGGGGTTTCTTGGAAACATTTTAATATTTTTTTAATCTAGTAAAAATTTAGAAAATAGCCTGTTTTTTAAAGGTCATTACAATCCTATAGCCCAATTAAATGAGGTATGTGGGTTTTATTTTTCATTTTAAATAACTCAAAGGATTTATGCAAAGCCGAGTCTCAACAAGTATAACTATTTGGTATACAGTTTTCTAGTTTGCCCTATGTATGTGTCTCTACTGACATGAACCCATACACTTTAGGACATGGCTGAAATACTATCCTCCCTACCTAGGAAGCCACATGTGCCTGATTAGGTCTCAGATAATACCTCATATGAATAGGCTTTCTGGTTAACTATAAGAAAGATATAGAAACATAGATTGTAGACACATAAGTGATTTGCTCTCTAGTATAGCAAGCTGTTTTATGTTAAAGTTTTAAAGTGCTACATGTTTCTGTGTTTTTTTGTTTTAGGGTACTTGTTACCTTTTCTGAGTATCTCCAAAAGACCTCATATGATGACCTTGCAAAATTCACAACTGAAGTGACTGACTTGGCAAAAGCATGTGCTGCTGATGATTCAGGGGCAGATTGTAACAAACCACTTGTAAGTTCTGATTTTGAGGATTCTTTCTTTTTCTTTATTATGAGTATTTCAAAGGAAAGATTCTTTTAAAACATTATTATTAAGTGTCTGAATTTGTAAGCTACACTCAAAAGTTTCATATGGACTGATAAGTCATTCACTGTTTATTCATGGACACAGATATTGTGGGTATGCCCACAGTTTTAACAAGATTTTTTCATTGAGAAAACACACTGATAGTCACTGTGTATTTAAATGACAATTTGTGATTTGTAACAATCTGTTTTCAAGAAGTTTGGTTTCTTTTTATAGAGGCTAATAGTTATAATGTATCTTTGTGTATTTATTAGCTTTATTTTATTGGGGTTGGAACACTTGACAGGAGTTCTATCCTCTTAAAAGTTTATGTGTGAAATATGTTATTTGTGATGATTGTTACAGTTTATTCATCTTGTTTAAGTGAAATCATGCCATTTGATTAGTCACTCCCCATTCCCTCCTTTTCCTAGCTCTTGGCAGCCATCTTTTTATTCTTTGATTCTGTGAATTTGACTATTTCAGATACCTCATATTAAAGGAATCATCCATCTTTGTATGTCTGTGATTGGTTTATTGCACTTAGCACAATGTCATCAAAGATCATCTGCATTAGTGCCAATTGTAGAATTTCCTTCCTTTAAAGGATGAATGGTATTCCCTTGTATAGAGATACTACATTTTATTTATGCATCCACATTTTCTTTATCCATTTATTATCCGTTGATGGACACTTCAGTTATTCCCATACYTTGACTAAATAATGTAAATAATACCCAACTGAATACAAGAGTCTAATATCTCTTTGAGGTAATAGCATGATTTTTACTTCTAGAAAGCACCAACTGATTTCTATGCTATGGGCAAAATAATAGTTATAGTTATTTATTCATCATTTTAGGGTTATTAATGTTTTTACATAAAATTAAAAAATGTACTTAAAAATCCTTTTGAAGAACTTGAATATTTGCTATTTCCAAATACATCTTCAAAATAAGAGGTCTATGTTTCTTTCACCACTCAATCTATATATGCCTCTTTAGGGACAAGGTTCATATTGTCAKTGGACCCTTTCCTCTTCTTGTTTCTCTCTGGATGCATCTCTCATTGTTTAAGAATAAGTAATTTTACTTCCCCCAATTTTTTAGTTCTACATATGAATTTTTAAAAGTGCATTTAAAAAAATAATAAATTCTGTCTAGACCAGTGAATTTTCCATATGGTTATATTTACTTATAACAATGAATGAGGGAAAAAAGGATTTACTCAATGAGTGAAATACTTTGAGAGAAATATTTCTAGAATGAAAAAATTCTATATTTTAATGCAGTAATAATATGTAGTAGATTTATGTTACTCCTCAACTTGTATATGCTATCTACTTAAAAGTTGAGTCTCTCAAAAAGAAGCAGATTAAATGAGAAAGTATTAAAGTATCAGAGTATTTCCTCCCTAAGATGAATTCACCTGCTGCACTATAGGCTACTTTCCCTAGTGATGGGTAAGAAGCAGAGAAAGGTAACATTCCTTAGGGCCATCAACTCTCTTTTTGTCCTTCAGTTTTATTCATCATAAGTAATATTGTGGCAGTTGATTGTTATGACAATTTCACAGAGGTAGCCAAATCAAGGGGATTTATTTAATGGAGGAAGTAATTTCTTATACAATTTCCTTTTTTGATAGGTTTAAAATTTTGTATTTAATTAAAAAATTTTTCATATTTAAATTTATGTTCTACCTCATACATAAAACATATGCATGGGGTCCCCTGGGATGTTTCAATATATGATATACCATACATATGTGCAATATAGATGATTTCTTCACCAAGCTTTAACAGTATGTTAAATTTTTATGCTGTTTTTTGGCAATAAAGAAAATAAAGTCCTTCCCAGAAAAATGAAGAGTGTTCTCTTTCATTTAGGACACTATCTTTGGAGAGAAAACATGCTCAATTGCCAATCTTCGTGATACCTATGGTGATATGGCTGACTGCTGTGCTAAACAAGATGCTGAGAGATTCCATTGCCTCGTAAAGCACAAAGAAGAAATGCCTAACCTCCCTGCACTTGACCTAAAACATCCTGAGGCTTTGTGCACCTCCTTTGAAGAAAATGATAAGAAGGCTTTGGGACAGTAAGTAATCTATGTTTCAAAGTTTAAAATTAAGGAATAAGTCAATACTCATTATAATAAAGACCATACCACACACCATTTCCAACATTGACTTGGAAGTTTTGCTCTAAGGATGAGTTTTAAAGGAATAATATTTCATAGCACAAAATTCTACACAACGAAAAATATGATCAAAGTTCTTTGATCTTGAAACAGGGTATGATCCATATGAAATGTTGAAACATGCATGTTTGATAAGATTCTGAAAAACATATAGTTATTCTCAGAATTGATTTCATTTTAGTCAGCAATATTAGATCACTCCTTTTGACCATATATATGTGATTCACACACACAAACTTCACACATTCAACCTCTCTTTTCAATGATTTAAAGAATGACTAAGACAAGACAATGAGGCAAACATTAAGCTTTAATGGTAAATGACCTGTCTTTGGGTTTTTGGAGGCTCTTGGAAGAATGTTGATTGTAATTGTTTTTGTAATGTTATGTGGTATGGAAAAATGATTTCTTGTTATCTTTTTTTTAAATAGTTTTTTATATGAAGCTGCCAGAAGACAACCTTACCTCGGTGGCGCAGGACTCATTTACTTGGCTGAAAAGTATAAGAGCTATCTGACAGAATGCTGTCAAGCTGCTGACAAAGGAGAATGCCTGACACCAAAGGTACTCCCCCCAAAAGAACCAGTTCATAGTGCCACCTCAGATTTTGAACATCTTGTGGCTAGATTTAGAAAAGCTTAATCGCCTGAGGAAAGTTCCCTACACGTTCCAAACAGCCTTCCTTACTCTTATGTTCCCCCAAGAAGTTTTGTTCTCTTTGAAGGCTTCTCCTAGGCTTCCATCCTCCTTCTGAGCTTTACCATTGCTGATCTGATGGAGGRAATCACTGTGCACATAGTTAAATGTCCTGCCCCTCATTATTCTGAGGATCTCTATAATGAAGTGTAATTGCACAGCAAGGGCCCACAGTGTTTTGGTTTTTTTTCCTAAGAGACTTTTTGTTGGAGAGAGAATTCAAAGTCTAGAATATTAGTGCAACTAGAATCAAGAGCTCATTTATTCCTTCCCTAAGTATTTATTGTGTGTCTCATTCTGTTCTCTGGGGAGTTTGTTGATGTTGTAGAGGAGGAACTTACACGGATTATAAATAAAATTAAGAACTCAGCTAAATTATATGTACCTGGGAATTAGTGTACACTTTTTTTTTCAGAAGCCTTTTCTCTGGCAATGTGTCCATGCTGGTTTTAACTACATAGAGTCCTCTGTTTTTACCAGACTAATTTTTCCTCTTACATAGTAAAATAATTATTTCCCAAAGGGAGTACTTGGGAATGTAGAGTGAATGTGGCATAGTCTCATCTGGGCTTATGAAGTGGTATTTTATACAGAAGTTTTATTTTCTCTCTCTCTCTCTCTCTCTCTCTCTCTCTCTATATATATATATATATATATATATATATATATTTTAATTTGCTTTCTTTCTGTAGATTGAGAATTTGAGGATGAAAANTCTTACATAGTAAAATAATTATTTCCCAAAGGGAGTACTTGGGAATGTAGAGTGAATGTGGCATAGTCTCATCTGGGCTTATGAAGTGGTATTTTGTACAGAAGTTTTATTCTCTCTCTCTCTCTCTATATATATATATATATATATTTTAATTTGCTTTCTTTCTGTAGATTGAGAATTTGAGGATGAAAACAAAGTTTTATTCTGCCAAGGATAGACTCAAGTGTAGCATTCTTGAGAAATTCGGTGAAAGAGCTCTCAAAGCATGGTAAATATTTTTTAACACAACTTGTATCTTTTTAAAAATGTAAAAATGATAATGGTTCCATTGACAAAACCATATATTTATGTGTCATTTCTCCCAATCCTTACAGATATATTTTGTTGTCATTGTTATCTAAAAGGTAGAGTTAATAGAGTTGAAATCCAGAAAATGWGTAAGAAGTTGACATTGTTTGTCTTATTTTTCTAAGTTGTTAAAGAATTTGGAATACATAATCATTTTTGTCCTAAAAAGAAATCACATAAATTCTACTTGTTTATGTAGAATAGGAATCTTACACTAATCATCTATTTCTTTTACAGAACTCTAGTCAGTATCTTTTATTTAATTTTATTCTTTCCCACAATGACCTGAAGGTGTCTACTCCTCTTGTTATGTCCCGATAATGAAATTCAGTCACAATTAAGCCACAGTTACTACTTGTAGTTTTCACATAGCTCCAACTCTATTCTCAATCTCGTGTTTTTGCCTGTGTCTCTGTTTGTATAGTATTTAGTTGATTCTGTGAACATTCTTCAGTATCTGAACTAAGGAAAATATTACCTGCCCTTCCAATCCTTTACCTGTCAGTCAAYAATGAATCAATGTAATTAATAGAAGTTAAAATTAAAATAGTAGCTATTATGCATGCTCTCTAGAGACTCTCAATTGAATTATCTTTGCCTATCATTCCTACCATAAAAACCATAAAACAAAACAAAATTGATAAACAAAATACCTCTAATTTAAAAAAATACACTTTATGCAGGCAATGACTGGTTCTGAGAAAGAAGTCTTCTTACAGCATTTAGACAGTCCTAAAAGGATTTTGGGAAGAATGATGACATTAGCCTTTTATATCCTGTCATAGAATTTAGAGGCTGTGCTGGATCAATTTATTGTAAAAGTATGCTTAATAAAAACTCCCTCATTATGTAGATGTTTTGAAATTAATTTTCTTGAAGAACTTTAGTAGTCAGGCAGGAAGGAAAAAAAATAAATGAAAAAGGCAACTGGAGTTTGTGTGATACTTCCCAGATTATAAAATATTTTCACATGCATTGTATAATTTATTCTTCAAAATAGTCCTTCCATTTAGCATGATGTTGTGACACTGAGAAGGCTAAAGTTCAGAGAAGTTAAGTAACTTGCCTAGGATTTTACTGCTAAGAAGATATGAAGTCACATTAGGAAGACAGATCAGGACTCCATACCTGATGCTCCTCATACTGTTTCCCCTTTCAGCATTCCTCTTTGATTGCTGATTTTATGAATCATCAGCTTTCCATTCATCACACACTTATACAATGGATAATTTTAAGAAAATAGGCAAAAAGATGACCATTTGGTTCAGCTCTAACATTAAAATAACCAATGACTTAAAAAAAATAATTCTGTGTTAGTCTGTCTTGAATTCTTTGTTATAAGTGGAGTTTTCATAGGAATTTCACATCAGTTATTGCCTGATTATAATGTATTGATGGGGGGATTTTTTTTTAAAGGTTAGTAGCTCGTCTAAGCCGGCAATTTACCCATGCTGAATTTACAGAAATTACCAAGATGGCAACAGATATTACAAAAATGAACAAGGAATCCTGTGATGGTGATCTGCTTGAAGATGTACATGACAGGGTAAAGAGCCATTAATTTTCCTTTTGTAGCTTACATGCTTAAGTTGGTAGAATAAACGTACTTAGCATAACTAGGACAATTGTCAGTTACTAAATCACCTGAAAAAGTTTTTCACCYATTTGTAACCTCTTTCAGTCGTACTCTGAGAATCTAGGCTGAAACTGAATGAGGACAGCTGCAAGTCAGTGCTAAGATATTTTTTTGGGGAAAAGTGGGTTTGAAGAAGGGCTATTATCTCAAGAGACCTTTGGAAATGAAGCATTTTTCCCCTYTATGTTGTCTCCTTTCATTAAGTGTTTTCCCAAATATAATCTCTTTCCCCAAATTTGTAGTGTTGTCTCCCTTTTTTCAAAGATCAAAAATAATGACCATATATCAGAATCCTGAGCTATCATGACACTTCCTGGAAATTTAAGATTATATATACACACACACACACACACACACACACACACACACACACACATACACACAAATATAAATAAGACCCATGACTGTGATCTTGACTCATTTGTTAAAATCTTTACTTAGTTATTTGGTTTCAAAATGAATTTGAGGGCAATATTTAAAAAAAATAGCATGGGATCTTAATTTAAAAAACTTAAATTCCTCAACAGTGGAAATATGAAATTAATAAGTAGCTGAGATTAATTAATTATAATAAACAAATAAATGACAACGGTTCCTACCTTGTCTTTTGTGATCAAGTGCATATGTTTTAGTAGTTAAGAGGCTCCAGGCTCAGAAGCACTGACTGAGGATATGTGTTCATTGAAGCCACATTGGTTGTGAATGAACGGCCTTGGAATATAGTGAACCTGTTCTGCAACATCATAATGGTCTGGAGAGAAAGTGTAGCAATGCCAATTTATRTTGAACAATTGTTGACCTCCTCACAGGTAACTCTTTCCAATTACATTTGTGATAATCAAGACACAATCTCCAAGAAAGTGGGGGAATGTTGTGCTAAGCCCCCGTTGGAAAAAAATCACTGCCTCGTTGAGGTGGAAGATGACAAGCTTACTGACTTATCAGCACTAACAGCCACTTATGCTGAGGATAAAGATGTTTGCAAAAACTATGCTGAGGCAAAAGATATCTTCTTGGGCACGTAAGTTAGATAAGAAATTACCCTTTCATAGTGCTTGATTTAGCAAGATCATGATCTAGGAAGATATGCTAGGGTTTCCTTTGGAGTTACTACAGTTTCCATGTTACCCAGGATGCTTTTTCAACCCATTGTCTCCCAGTCTTTAAAGGTTAAAACAATTAATTAATTTCAAACATTGCCATTCAGTATATATTCATGGTAAAAGCTCAATGTTTATTAATCCTTAGGATATCTCTGGGAATATCTCTAGAAATATCTGTATGTATACAAATTATGTATATAACATTTATTTGCTTAATTATTATTAAACAGGTATTTTTAAAATATATAAAATATATGTGAACATATATTGCCTATCATCTYTATCCATCTGTATGTTGGCATCAAATATGTATAGAAAAAGTATAGAATTTGACAATAGGTGTTTCGTATCTGAATGAAAAGACCAAAAGCTCAGTAGTATGATAAAGCAGCTAAATAACAAATGATTATATATGATCAACAAGAATGATGACCAGCTTTACGTTTTTTATAGTTGGATTACAGTATTTTTTTCTGCACCTAAATAATATTTAATAAAATGATGTATTGTATAAGATTTCTGTCATATGAAGAGGAAAAAATTAAGAATAAATCTATGTCTAGTGAAATGCTTTTTAGATGTAATCCAAATAAAATTACACATACATAATAATAACAGGTACAATTCCTGACATTTTTAAGATGTGTCAGGCAATATATGTTTTGCACACATTGTGTCATGTATTTCTCATAACCCAATATAKGAGATGAGTATTATTATCATTCCCAATCTACAGAGGAGGAAACTAGTCTTTATATGTTGCCTAATGTAATAGAGTAAAATAAATGGCAGAACCAGAAATCGAGCACAGGAAGAACCCCAAGTCCTTTGCCAGTAAACTTCACTACATGGGGTTTAGTCAAATTCAGACCCTGGGAATTTTAGTTACACTTGGAGTTATTTATGTACACATTCTTGCTCRTTGGTACAACTAAATCTATATTCCTCTTATTTAGGTTTTTGAATGAATATTCAAGAAGGCACCCTGAGTATGGTTCCCTTTTGCTGCTGAGAATTGCCAAGGTTTATGAAGCCAAACTGGAGAAGTGCTGTGCTGAAGCTGATCCTCCTGCATGCTATGGCAAAGTGGTAGGTGTCCTGCAGGGAAAGAAGAATACAGCTCTTTGCTGATTCTAATAATGAGAAAGAAAAACAATACAAGACTGAAATGATACACAGTACAATTTTTAGATCTTTTCTTGAGATGGATTCAGTTCTGTGCTCTTAAACATCTTAGGGAAAAATAGCCTTATATAGAATGGTTAATAAATTTTAGAACAGTTGGTCTAGAAAAGAAAGCTATGAAGTTCGTAATCTCTAATTTCACAAAATCTTGGCCATCCTTTCTTTGTTTTCCATATTCCTGAGAACTAAATAAGATCAGGTAAATTTAAATGTCAATTAAAAGAGATTTAACTTAGATACAAAGAAAGTTAACCTGACCCAAGATTATATCAAGTACTGGAGRTAAKATCTTWAGGGAGGTTATGAAACTTATTTCTTTAGAATATTTWAAAATCTTTTTGAGAAGGTTTAGGAATTGTTTTACAAGATGGTAAGTTAGAATACACCTGTTCTGGAGGATTTTAGGGTGCCTACTAGTATATATTAAAGGTTTCCAAACTGTTATAGAATCAGAGAAATACTTTCTTTCCTCTACCAAGAAGCTGCTGTATGCCAGGCACCGTCCTGCAACTGATGCTAAGAGCAACATTCCTCAGAGAGCTGAGGATCCAACTGGAGAGATGGCCTAATAATAATAGTAATAGTAATAGTAATAATGATGATGATGATGATGATGATGATAATAGTAATAATACTCAGGACCAACATTTATCGGCCTTTTACTATGGACTAGGTGCTATTTTAATTTCATTAGCTTAGTTGATTCCCAGAGCAATTCTGGGTGGTRAGCACTATTTTTACCTCTATTGTGAAGATGAGGATTCTGAATCTCAGAACTGGTAACTAAAGCTGCACCACTGGAAAATGAGTCAGGTGGCCTGGCTCCAAAGYCAGCCACTGATCTCTGAGGCTGAAGATTCTTAACTACGTGCACTATACAGTCTTGTCAAATAAGAGAAACAATTTGATGTGATGTGACAGATGTGGCACTGAACATCTACTCATGTGGTTTTGGGAAGAAAGAAGGAAGGGGTAAAAAGTGACCAGTAGCTGGTCCTCAGAAGGATATATAAATGGAGTCTTTTATGTTCCAGTTTGAGGAATTTGAGCCTCTTGTGACTGAGCCTCAGAATGTAGTCAAGCAAAACTGTGATCTCTATGAGCAGCTTGGGGAATATAAATTCCAAAATGCGTAAGTAGTTTTATTTATTCGCTGATTTTTTTTCCTTGACCAATTTGCTATTATTTAATACTTCATATATAGGCTGCCTAGCATATGACTTTTAATAGCAAAGATACACATATATTTCTAAACTCTCTTTATCAAGAAAGTCTGGAGAGTAGAGAAAATATAGTCGATGGGATGCAGAGGCCTCTATTTGTGTACAGTTTTAAAAAATGTTCTTTTGAGACTGGGAGTATGTAGGCTGGGAGGGTTAGTGCCAAATGTTGACTTATCAACTGAGTACGTTCCTTGGAGGTTAAGGGATAGTTTTTGAGTAAATGAACCCTAGCAGCATTTTACAGAGCAGGAAGTAGTAGGCCTTGAATAGCAGTAGTTCAAGAAGTAATATAAGAGCTGAACACAAAAACATGCCAAAGATATGGACTTAGCTAATATGGGAAATTGAATTCCTATTGGTCTATCGGTGGGAAGAGTGGATGTTCAGAAGGTACATTAGACTTTGATGATCATGACTTTGTTTTCCTGTGGAATTTCCCTCCCTAGAAAAGATAGAGACAAAAGGACATGCTGAAGTAATGTCCCCATTTAATAGGCCCTTATGTATGGAGGAAAAGTCATAGATTCTTCCATTGAGTAGATTACAGTCATACATTGACTTTACATGGTGATTGGGATTCTTTATAAGTGATTCTTACATGCTGGATAACATGCCTGGTTCATTGCCTTGTCAATGTCACTTTCAGTTTAATCCTTGCACCATTCCTATTGAGACAGGGATATTTCCTCCCATTTTTCACCCACATATTTTAAATTTATCATAGTCCTGATTTATATTACATTCTCAATAGAATTTAATGAAACAAAGATGCAATGATTATTAATTATATTAATAATGCAATGATTATTAAGTATATTAATGTCACTGGATTATAAGAAGGTAGATAAACATCCTAACATTATTATATGGTGCAGGTGGCTTTAAAGCCATGTTTAATGATTGGTCAGGACAAAGTCTTTTTCTGACACACTCAGCCATCACCCTGAATATGAAGATATTTTTTGTTGGCAGGTACTGGGGATGAACACGGGAGCTTTACCACTGAGTTACAACCCTACTACTTTAATTTTTTTTTTTTTTTTTTTTTTTTAGATAGAGTCTTGCTAAGTTGCTTAGGCCCTCACTAAATTACTGAAGTAATCTTCTTGCCTGAGCTTCCTGAGCAGCTGGGATTAGAGGCCTGTACCACTGTGCTTGACATAGACAAACATAATTTGATGAATGGCTATTTAGGATATATTAGTTAATTTTGGATGGATTTTCCTCTGCCTGATCTACTATATTAGAAAAAGACAGTTTCTTGTTTCGCTAAACACACATGCCCCCCCCCTTTTTTTTTAAACAGACTTCTAATCCGTTACACTCAGAAAGCACCCCAGGTGTCAACTCCAACTCTTGTGGAGGCATCAAGAAACTTAGGAAGAGTGGGCACCAAGTGCTGTAAGCTTCCTGAATCACACAGAATGCCCTGTGTTGAAGACTATGTGAGTCTTTTAAAATATAATAATTTTAATACTGAATTCTCATCTTATGAAATTGACAAAAGTAACKTTTAGAGGCAGGAGTGGACTAGAATGTGTGTACATGACTAACAGGGGTATATCTGTGTATGTGCATGGTAGTAGCAGTTAGAACTTGCTCACCTATATCCCGACTATAAAACGTAGAATTTAGTTAAAATATGAAAGTTATAACTTGTTTTTTTTAAAAGGATCCACGAGTTTTCAGTGTTTTGGCATTTCCTAAATTTTTACTTTTAGGTGTCTCTGTTTCATGTACCAGTATAAGACTACTTCTTTCCTATTCTAACACATGTGTCAGGATATATCACCTCCAATTATTTTCATGAATTATTTTCTCAAGTATTAAGAATATTGAGACATCTAGACTTACTTGTAAAAGAGTCATGTTAAAGAGTCCCTTATGCTTAGTTTCAAAGATAGTCATTTGTTGCCTCAGTCAACTTTGGATTTATTGTTACTAGTTTAATATGTCACAACTTTGGGTTCGAGGGAAAAGGAGTGTTCGTGGACAATTTCAATTTTGCCTCTTTTGAATTTCTGCTCTCCTTCCTGTTCTTCAGCTGACTGCAATCCTGAACACAGTGTGTGTGATGCATGATAAGAATCCAGTGAGTGAGAGAATCACCAAATGCTGCTCTGAGTCCTTTGTGAACAAGCGGGCATGCTTTTCTGCTCTATCAGTTGATGACACATATGTTCCCAAAGAATTCCATGCTGATACATTCACCTTCCATGCAGATATATGCACACTTCCAGAGACTGAGCAACAAATCAAGAAACAAACGTGAGCAATATTTCCTTATCACATGTTTGTAGTCTTATGAAGAGAATATTAATTGAAAGGAGCAAACTGTCTCATGTACTGATTATACTTCTTAGAGTAATGTACTTAAGTATTGGCCTTTTTAAGTTGATAAAATTGTCAAGAATAAAATGAATGGCTTTTTTCCCTTAGGGGGCAAAAACTATATTATTAGACTCTTATCTGCAAACTATTCATAGTGATATTGTGGATGAACACCCCAGTAGAATAAGATCATAGGCCAGGTCCATGAGAAAAGGCTGAACATTTAACTGATGAATTTGTATCCAGAGGCAAATTAGTTGTAGAAATCATAGGGGAATTTATTTCTAGGAATGAATGGTACTTTAAGTTGGTTCTAGAGTGACCCCACAGGTGAGAGAAAAGCCTGTGATGTGACTTTTGAGAATGGCAATGGAACAGAAAACATCTAGAAATGTGAGTTTTGAGGCTTAACTTCTCAGTGCTATTACAAAAGGTGACCATAGCATGAACTTTAGTATCAGAAAATTGCTGTCATCTCTGATGGCCTGTAATCATGATCCATACTTATAAATAATATTTCAAAACTTATTATTCCCACATAACACACTCTGTGTCTCTGTTGTCTTTTCAGATGTCAATGAAAGGGAAACACCACCTCCCACTTGTTTGAAATCTTAAACCCGTATAATCTCCCCATAATTAACTTTGAATAGGGAAAATTTCAAAGATGAACTTTAAAGATTCTTAGRGAAGAAGATTTTTCAATGATGTTTAATGTCTTAAAAATTTAGAGGTTATTTTAAACCCTTCAATATCTATAAAAGTCAATGTGGCCTAGCTTATAAAATCTGAACCATATCCAAATGCCACAACATACACTTTCTGGAGATCTGCTAAAATTCTAAAACACTGAGTGATTKGCCCTGATTATCTGATTCTCCCACCAGCCMTATGAAGTGGATTTTATTAATCTCATTTAAAATTAGAATGGCATGCCTGRCCTCAAGCCCCRAACTGCCTGGCTCCAAGATTTATAAWCTTTTRTTTGTTTTGGTACTGAGGATTGAACCASGGGTGCTTAGCCACTGAGCCACATCCGCAGCTCTATTTTATGTTTTATTTAGAGACATGGTCTCGCTGAGTTGGTAAGTGCCTCCCCCAAGTTGGTGAGGCTGGCTTTGACTTTGTGATCCTCYTGCCTCAACCTCCTGAGCTGCTGGGATTACAGGTGTGCGCCACAGTGCCCTGCAAGGTTTATAATGTCAGGTGCCATTCTTATATCCTTCATATTTCTTATATTCTTAAGTTTTTCTTGCTGTGTCTTTCATTTTCTGTTCAAATGCAGAGCACTTGCTGAGCTGGTGAAACACAAGCCCACAGCAACAAATGATCAACTGAAAACCGTGATGGGGGATTTCGTAGCTTTTCTGGACAAGTGCTGCAAGGCTGACGACAAGGAGGCCTGCTTCTCCGAGGAGGTGCTGGAGCTGCTTTCATTTTAATATTTCCAACTTTCATTTTTGTGCATTTGGTCAGGTCAGGGATTAGGGATTTAGGTTTTGAAAGATGCATGGAGCAGAGATCTTATTCTATGAACAATTGTCTTACAAAATGAGTTTAGTAGYTCTTGGTTTTATCTCCTGCTGCACCGTGGCATACTATTAAATTTTTGTAATGTCTCTTCTGTTCCAAATTTGTGATCGTTATGAATAGATAGACATATTTATAAGGCCTAAAATGTTTTGGTCAGTAAAGTAAAGCATTAATTTAAACATTTTCTCCCAAATTGCTATCTTCTCATTTGACTRAATTTTACAAGTTAGTTCAGGTGGGAATGGACATTTAAATATCTAAATCATTTAATAGTCACCCCTATACCCTGACAATAGATATATTTTTATTTTCTTGGGGAGGGTGATTGTTGGTGAACTTCCCTATAGAGATCCTGGTAGTTTAATGTGAATTAAAGGGGGTGATGCAGATACAATCACGGTATATCACCTATTTTTTTGGTAGAACCTGCCATTTTATGTATTCTATGATAATGCTAATATTTTCCCAACATCTGTCATTTCTTTGTATTCAGGGCCCCAAATTTGTTGCTGCAACTCAAGCTGCTTTAGCATAAAAAACATCACAATCCCAAGTATCTCAGGTAACTATATGCTTTATGTTATTAAAAAAGTAATTATAATCATTATTATTAAAAAGCAAAGATGACTGCATTTTTTAAGAGCCATATAGACAAACACCAATCAATACTCTTAGCTCTTTATATATATTAACTTATATAATTATCAAAATAATTTCTGAGTTGGGTATTCTTGTTATTCCCATTTTGTAGATGAATACATGGACACATAGACAAAAGGATAGATTACATAATTTATCTATCTAAGGGACAACCAAGATAGTAAGAGGTGGAGTCAAAATTCCAGAAAGTGTTAACCATTGTCCTCTTCTGACATATGTGACTGTGTACACAGTCATCCTAGTGATGCCTCACCAGCAGAGACTCTAGGTGTTAGAACCATATGAAAGAACATTTTTGCAGATCAAAAATATCAATGAATATCAGTGGATTCACACGGTTCAWCCTAAATATAATTCAATGAGGGATGTATTCTATATGAACTTGTGCTATAGAATGAATAATGTGCTACTAAATTTCCMATGTGTCAACATATTAAGTTTAATAGAATTTCTCTTCTTATGACAAAACACCCACTTTAAAACATATACATCTAAGCATAAACATGTTTTACTTTTTTTCTGTGTGTGTAATATTTTGCAGCATTATTTAAAAAATAGAACAGCACTGAAAAAAAAAAAGTATTGGTAAAACCAGGTTGTTTAACCATATAATAATACCTACTTGTGCATCCAAAGAATAGCAAATTTGTATCTCCAAAAATTTGGTCATTCCCAAATGTGATGTGTTTCAGTCCTAAGTGGAATAAATTTCTTCCTAGGGTTCCAAATTTGAGCAGATATTTTTTGTTTAGGTATGACTTAGGTAAGAGTAGGTGCTAGATAGCCCTGAGGAGTGGTGATASAGGCCTCTGACTTGAGTCTGGCAGAACCACTGAAGAAGAGGGCACTTCACAACATGTTGGTGTGTCCTGTGCCCTTGCCCAGCAGAAGGGAAACCCAGCTRAGCYTTGGAAGGTTTAAATTGTTTCTGCTGGTGGAAATTGTAGAARGACAATYGAAGCAATTTAGCATTAGTTGTAGCAGACTGGAAAAATATATGACGTTTTACAAACAGCTCTTCTATTTTTCTCCTTTTGTTTTTCAGGCTGACCAGAGAAGAAGAGAAAGAGACTAAGACTTTATCCATCTGTTTGTCTTTTCTGTTGGTGTAAAATCAACACTCTAAGAAACACAACTTTTCTTCAAATGTTTGACCTCTTTGCTCTATGTTGAAATTAATAAAAAATGAAAAGAATCGAATATTGTRGTCCAGGATTGTTATTTTCCAAAAGTGTGTTTCCATCCTGAAAATTTTGTGGATTTGTGAAAGTTTCAATTTTCTGTCTCTCACCCCACTTCAGCAGAGGACTTCTAGTTCCTCAGAGGCTACTTCATGAAAAGAAAAGTTAATTCTCATCTGAGTTATGGGTTATAAACATTCAAAAYAGCCTCTTAACATTATGAAAGAATAACACCTGTGGCAGGGATAGGGCATTTACAGTCTGGCTCCTCCTCACTACTGGGACTCTCTGAGAACTAGTGAGGGACAAAAAAGGATGGAGATGACTTTAAAGGTGGCTAATTAAATTTTTTAAAAAAGTCATTCTTGGAGAAATTTGAGACAGTTTAGGATGACAATACATGAAATGTGTAAAAAGTTTGGAGAAGCATTATTGGAAGAAGGGGTTGGGTGATCTGGAGGAAGGCATGAATAGGAGTGATTAACTGTACTGAAMTGATGAAGTGCAAGAGTCTTTACAGTTTCTTGTAAAGAAGTTGAGATGTTATACCCAATACTGGGCCTCTTTTCCCTGTTCCTGGAGGTAATTACTTACACCATACTTTCATCTAGGAGCTTACATACTTAGTCATTTATAATCATATTAGTTTGTATTTTTTGTATTTTTATAGACTTGGTTTCATAGTGTGTGTAAGCAACAATAACCAACACAATTTTAGCACCATTATGAAAACACAAATCACAGGGATGGAAGCAGCCCTCAAAGGGGTCATCAAACCTTCCTTTATTCCCTAGTGGATCAATCAGTGAGGCACTGGAGGGGTTCATTTTCTGCATAGAAAAATGGCCGCCAGTTACAGAAGAGGTTTGAGTTTTATAGTTTACAACAAGGGTGGTTTAATTATTGGAGAAAGAAGTAGCATGTATTGGACAGTCAGGAAAGAAGTTGTAAAAAGCCCCAAACTCATGGTCACTGGAATAATCTCAGAAGTTGGTGTCACTACTTAATTCTCTGGAATTCCTTGTTTCCCAGAGCTTTACTACTTGCTTTTCTCCTTTTCTGGGTCATTAGCAACAGGAAAGGGTAAAAGTCCAGGWCCCAGAGTTTCAGCATCTGTCTCCACGCTTCAGGACCCATTGTTGTTGGGAAGGGATGGATGTTTGATTCTGGTGGTAATGCTTGGGATGAACYCTGGAAGGGATGAAAGTCTGATTTTCTCCCTCAGGGCTTATTGTTACTGGGAAAGGATTTACTGGGAGAGGATTAGTCATTGCCTTCCTCCTCCCTCTTCCTCTGGGTCAGACAGTTTTGGGGTGTTGTCATTTCCCTGTCCYGAGGATTGTCATTTTCCATATACTTCATTGTGTATACTATTTCACAACTTGTTCTTAATTAATAGTGCTTCGTAGTTTCATTTTAAGTCTAATGCTTGCTCAAGTTGAAAAAAAAGTCCCTTCTTTTCCCCTTATGTTCTGCACTCCCACCCTCCCATTCCCCCATTCTTATGCAACTCCTACTTTGGCCTCAGTCCAAAAAAATCATTGCAATCATTCCCAAAGCAGGAGAGAGCCCAAGGGGGAATGAAGTCTGGGGTCTCTGGACAATTGAATATTTTTAATATTTCATCCACTCGGTGCGATGATCCCCAATGCTTGACATCAGGGATGAGTAGCAAAAACGTAAAATTCATCTCAGTTTCCAAGAAAGCTTTTTTTTAAAAAAGGTAAATTATTTCAAATGGTTTTGGGGTCAGGTTGTCATGTACAGAGATACTGCCTTGAAAGACTGAGCAGGATTTGACAAGACATTAAATGTGCTTCCTTTTCTTTTGAAACATCAACATATTTCTTTTCTACCTCTGAGTTTTAACTGTGCTGATATTCTCTGAATGCTACATCATTCTGATAGTTAACCCAAATTGATCTTTAAATCATTTCTTCTCCCCCTAGAACTGTTACTAAACCAAGTCCAAAGTTTCCCAGAATGATTTTTACTGAAATTCAGAAGCTGGTCTTGGATGTGGCCCACATACATACATGAGAAGTGTTGCACAGTAAATGTGTTAGGAATGTCTGTAGGATGAGGTGAGGAGTCTTGTTCCAAAACGATATATCTCTGCCTTTCTTTCTTTCTTTCTTTCTTTCTTTCTTTCTTTCTTTCTTTCTTTCTTTCTTTCTTTCTTTCTTTCTTGTCTGATTCTTAAAGAGAGGAGGCTGTCTGGCTTGAGCTGGTCACAGGGTATGGTAATTAGGTGACCAAGTAACTTACCCACTTGTTGCTAATAAAGCTTAAACCATCTTTTCTAATCCTGGCTTTCACTTCTCATTTTTGTGAGACCAGAGCCCATACATTTCTTATGTTTAAAAAAGATATAACCTCTCAGGAGAACTCCGTATAATATCTTGAGAGGCAAGCTCTTTACTTTTATTGTATTTGTTTTTCCTTCTATTTATTTCTTCATATTTCTTCAATATGGATACATATTGAGTACTTCCCTGGGGCTAGCCACAGTGAGGGACACTTGTTAGGAAGGCATAAATTGACCTTCAGGAATTTTTAGTCTGATAGAAGAGATAAAACAGTGACTTCCTTGAAGTCAGGGACTGTTTTTTGTTTACTGTTCTCTTTATAGAACAATTCCTGGTATGTGGAAGGCATTCTATTACAGTTCCTTGCATGACTGAATGCAACTAAAAGAACAAGAGGAATTGCTCCCAAGGCCAAAAGCTAGTCATGCCTAAGAGAGGTGTGAATAAAGGGCTCTAGAAGAATTAAACAAAACCCAAACCTCTACCAACAGATTCCTTATGTACCATAGTCAGTGGTGATCAAATCAGTGTGGCTATCTGGACCACAAAGGACATTGACTGTCTTTTGTTTGCTGTTCTCTTTATAGGACAATGCCTGAAACATGGAAGGCATTCTATTATAGTATGTTGAATGACTGAATACAACAAAAAGAATACAAGCAATCCTAGCAGCTTGGGAGGTGGAGTCAGGAGTCAGGAGTTCAAAGCCAGCCTCAGCAAAAACAACATACTAAGCACCTTAGTGAGACCCTGTCTCTAAATAAAATGCAAAATAGGACTGGAGATACAGCTCAGTGCTCTAGTGCCCCTGAGTTTAATCAAGTTAGCCACACCTAAGAGAGGTATGAATAAAGGGCTCTAGGAGAATTAAACAAAACTCAAAATCCTGGCATTAGATTCCTTGTATATGCCATCTCAGCAGTGATCAAAGGAGTGTGGCTGTTTGGATCAACTCTAGGCATCCTAGATATTGTACAAGAGACCTGTCTACTCCCAATTTTCTTCCTCTCTGGTCCTATGTGACACACCCTTCTCTCAAAGGAGGCTTAAATCACAGTTCTCAGAGGCTCAAATGACCTGAAAACCAGGCTGGATCCTGGATTCTAGAGGGTTGATCATGCAAAGTAAAATGCTTATTTCAGCTCACTCCCATGGCAGCTAGTCTTGGAAGTCTGCAAGCAGCAGGGTGCAGAAAGGCCTCAGAGTGACAGTCCTTGAGCACAACAGAGTCCTGGAGCAGCTAGGAAGGATGAACTGGAAACTTTGCCACTTCACTGCCTTTCTCATCTAGAGGAGTTCACACACAGATTAGGAACACAACAAGAACTATTTCATTTTTCTTTGAAGTCAGAGTTTTCGATTTTTAAGTGGCAATTTTGTTGATTTTCTTAACTAGCTTCCCTGTGCTAGGAATCAAATAGAAGGCCTCACACACACTAGGTAAATGTTCTACCACTGAGCTACATCCACAGCCCTAAATTTGTTGATTTTATGGTTATTTAAAGGAAACATTTTTTAAAAATTGGAACTCATAAAGACTCTTTTCCTTTAAAATGGCAAAATTAATTTCCATATGATACGTAAGTTAGATTTTAAAAGCTGAAGAATGGATTCTAGTTGATCCTGCTGAGAATGCCTGGAATTTTCAGTCCCATGACAGGGGTGTATCTGAGAGCTTTCCCTTTCTGGCCACTGGAGTGCACTGCCCTCTGGCGGATTTAGTGGGTCACTGCAGATTGTTCTGATACAGAGTGGTAAGTTTGCTTTCCATGACACCAGCTGCAAGTGTTTTGAGAGGTGAATCTGAATACTATTAGGTGCTATTGGTTTTAGTAGCACATTTCCCTTTTGTTTTGAAATAAGATAATAGTGGTTAGCTGACAACTATGGGAAAAAGAATTGAACAAATGGGTATCTGGAAAGGAGTGGGGAAAGTATTTTTAGGATGGGAGACAAGAAAAGTGTCTTTTTTCTTCCCCCTTCCTCGCTCCTTCCYTTCCTTCTTCTGCTCTTATCTTTCCTCTTTATTCTCTCTAGGACTTTTTAATTTTTTCCCCTTATTCCTTCTTGGTAAAGATGGAGTGGAAAATTTGTCTTTTGTAGTTTCCTCCCTCCTGACTTCTCTCCCTTTCTCTCTCCCTCCCTTCTTTCCTTCCTTCCTCCTTTCCACCCTAGAACTGGCTCTGAGGTCCTATTTACAGAATAAAACTTTAAGACTTATATTTGGTTTTTCTCSTTACAAGGAAAAAATTATGCCATGCATTTGTTCTCCACAAGATGCTCTGTCAAGCAGAATAGCAGAATGCTGCAAATTGCCCACACTTGAACTAGGTCATTGCATAATCCATGCAGAAAATGATGACAAACCTGAAGGTTTGTCTCCAACTCTGAACAGATTTTTAGGAGATAGAGATTTCAACCAAGTTTCTTCAGGGGAAAGAAACATCTTCTTAGCAAGGTAACACGTTCTGCAAATGTGTGTTCACATAAGAGATCATTTTCTCTGGAGTGAGAATTATTGCCATCATAATATGTTATTCATCTAAAGGCCACCATTGAACGGACAAATAAGATACGGATAGTTTTGTAATATGAAGGACTTATGATTAAGAATGTGCTTTTTTGGTTATGCACATTTAAACAAATTTTCCCCAAAATATAATTCCATATATAATGCTAGATAGAAGGTTTATTTGCTATTTGTTGAATA